TTTTTTTTTTTTTTTTTTTTTTTTTTTTTGCGACAGGGTCTTGCTCTATCGCTTAGGCTGGAGTGCAGTGGCATGATCTCCCTCACTGCAACCTCTGCCTCCTGGGCTCAAACGATCCTCCCACCTTAGCCTCTTGAGTAGCTGGGATTACAGGCATGTGCTACGATGCTTGGCTAATTTTTGTTAGTAGAGAGGTTTCACCATGTTGCTCAGGCTGGTCTCAAACTCCTGGGCTCAAGCGATCCATGGGCCTTGGCCTCCCAAGTGATAATAGGTATGGGCCACCATGCCCAGCCACCCATCTCCCTTCTCTTGCCACCAGATGCCCTTAGGTAACTTAAGTCTTCATGACTTTCTCACCAATTACAAAAAGGCTTTATTATATTTTGCTAAATGTTAATTGCTTTCATTATGTCTCCAAACATTATTTCACCACTCATCTTTATAACAAGTTCAGTGAAGATATGCTTATCTAATATTGTACAATATTGTTGTGTTCTGTAACACTCTTTTGGGAACAGCTTAGATGTAGGTAACAAGAGATGCCTGTGTATGAAAGTGCTTCATAAACTGTACTGTATAAATGTAAACTACTACCATTTTCAGGTAAAATCAGAGAATAAATGTCTCTGTTGTTGGAAGTGTCCTCTCAGGACTCATCTAGTCCAACTTCTGCAGTGACTGGATGAGGGCACAGACTGAGGCCAGAGGCACGAGGCTCGGGATTGGAGAGTTAGAGGCCAACGCAAGGACAGAATCTGCATTCCTAGCACAGGGATCTTTCTCCTCCCCTGTGTAATTTATCTTTAAAAACACTGATACTTTTCTGGTGCTGGGAGCACCATGTCCTTTAAAATTTATAAATTAATGGATGATTACAACAAAAATAACTTTTTACCTAGCCCTCAATAAATAGTTGTTGGTGAAATTAGAAATTTGAGGTTGAATTGTTAAAGATCGTCTTGGTCACTCCTCTCTCGTGAAGAAACCCATCGACTCAGAATCACCTCCTGAAACCAATAAAAAAAAAAAGACCATTTCTTAAAACAGAAATGTAAGACCATTCCGGGTAGCTGACACCACAGCTACATTTCACAAAGAGCTGTCTATATAATGATGATACTGTTCCCATCTTTAAAACAGAAGCATCTGGAGAAAATGAATGGAACAATATAAACCTTACAAGCATATAGTATCTACTTTCACCAGGCAAAGATTTTAAAGCTAAGCTTGCCTCTGCTGTGGTATTCTACCAGCACATTTCAGGAACAGGTGGGCTGGATGAAAGCTAGGATTTTACACTAGCGCTAGGTCTGTGATGGCATTGCTGTTACTGGGCCAGCTACTGAGAAGGGAGAAATGAGGCTGATGAGCATTTTATGAAAAACTAGCCTAGTGGAGATAAGTGGGACCAACTGAAGGCAGGAGGTGCTGGGGCCCTGGAGACCACAGGTCTGCAGGGGGCAGGGTGGTGTGAAAAGAAGAAAGGGCGATGAGTACAAGAGAGGGTGACAACAATGACATACTGGATGTGGGGAGGAGCCAATGGCAACATTAAGGCTCTACACAGAGGGAGGGAGTGCAGAAACACGGACACACACTAGACGACTCGGCCAGACCAGAGAGAAACCAGCCAAGATGACAGGAGGCACCTCGGTTCAGTACAGAAGCCCAGAAGCAGGAGAGAGTCAACAGGGACACCTCTGGTCTCTGGGAATGAGACCTGTGAGAGGTCCTGGCCTGACCAGGGGGTCACAGGCCACCTGTGAGACAGCAGTTTCAGCTGAGTGATGCGGATATCACAGGTAAAAAACTGGGGAATCAAGGAAGAGTGGAAGTCAGCATAGATTTTGTGTCCAATGGTTCAGCGGGGAAAAGGTGAGACTTACAGAGCCTGCCTGAGAAGGCTTTGTTACCAAGGCAAGACTGTATTCATGTATTTTCTTGGGACCACATGTTCCAGATACACTATGATGCACAGAATCTTTCGGATGACATGAATTTCTCTCGGTTTACTCACCTGAACTTTAATTCTTTTCATACATTCTGGTGACTCCATTTCCTTATCAGTCATAGTTGAGGGTTTAATCAAATAGCACAGCATAAGTTCCTATTGAGAAATGAAAAACCACTTCTGTATCCTACAAAATAATAGTACAAATTTGGATGTATCAGCAGGAAATGCAGGTGGTCTCCAGTCCCTCTCACTGTGCACTCCAAGTGGAAACTCACAGACACATCAGTTTCCTCCTGGGGACATCATAACTGGGATTTACGTTCTAAGTACCTGCCATTTAGTAATCATTGAACATGGCAAGAGTTATAAGCAGATACATTCATTATAAACACAGCATTAAGAATACTAAATATAGTAAGTCCTCACTTAATGTCCTTGATAGGTTCTTCGACAGGGACGTTAAGTGAAACGACACTGATACGGTTTGGCTCTGTCCCCAACCAAATCTCATCTTGAATTGTAGCTCCCACAATCCCCACGTGCCATGGAGGGACCTCGTGGGAGGTGATTAGATTATGGGGGATGGTCCCCATGCTGTTCTTGTGATGGTGAGTTCTCACGAGATCTGATGGTTTTGTAAGGGGCTTCCTCCTTCCCTCATCCTTGCTCCTGCCACCCTTTGAAGAGGTGCCTTCCACCATGATTTTAAGCTTCCTGAGGCCTCCCCTGCCGTGTGGAACTGGGAACTGTGAGTCGATTAAACCTCTTTTCTTTATAAATTACCCAGTCTCAAGTATTTCTTTATAGCAGCATAAGAATGGACTAATACAGATGTATGGCAGGTCTTCAAATAAACTTCAACGTTGTGTTCTTATGATGAGAAGAAGAAATTGTTTTTGTATATGGTATTCGCCTAATGTTGCAGTTTCCAAGAACATATCAACAATGTTAAGTGAGGACATATTAAGTATATGCTACGAGTCCCCTAAAATGGGCATAAAAACACTAGAAACAGTATAGGCTCCCTAATTTTCTACAGGACCAAGCTAAAGCCTAGGCAACCTAACCTGCTCTAAAGGGCAGTCATCTCCAGCCCTGCAAGACCCTCCAGCCTCAGCCCCACCTCACTTCCAGCAGCACGAGCACAAAATTAGAGGGTATGGACAATTTGTTCTCAGCCAGCAAATCACTGAGTAATGAAAACACACACAGCTTTCTTTCTTGATAGTCCTTGTGTGAGCTGAGTTCCTCCTATCTCTGATGGCAACAGGAAGGATATAGTGAAACACAAGCCAGGGAGCCGGAGAGCTGTGGGTTTGGATCCCGAGTCTGCACATAAGCTGTGTGATCTTGGATTACTCACTCAACAGCTCCAACCTTGGTTTCTCATCCTCGGGATGAGGATAACAACAGGGTGGGAAAGTGCTTAGCAATAAATATCAAGTGCCTTCCTCTCTAAGAGATCTGCAAACTTTCAATGTTTTGGCTCCTTTGTGAATATGTGTATGAGTGAATGTTAAATTGCAGTATAAAACAGGCCACACAGCAACGATACCCCTGGGAAGAGAGGCAATGCCTACGCAGATCAGATCACCATGGGAAACTTCAAAGCTCAGTCATTGGAGCTCAGCAGCAGTTGGGAGGGAGGGGACAATAAAATGTAACGTGAAGGGAGGACAACTTCTAGCGCAATAAGGGAAGGGTACAAATGACCCCTGCCAGCATGTCACTGGCAGGAATGTTATGAAGGTTCTACAGGTAACTTTTTTGATTCCACTACATGTAAGAAAAAAAAAAAATTGAACCATTTAAGTGACACTCCAATGGCAAAGCTGATGTTGTGTTACCTTAGAGACATTAACGGAAACTCTGCTCAAGGCAGCCAGGGACTTCCAACTGAAAGGCCTGCGGAGACAGCCTTCAAAATGGTCATCAACTAGCTCGATAATGACAGAATAACTGGAAAACGCAGAAAAAGCATTTTAAAAGTAAGCATGAAATAAACCTGTTTTAAAAGAATATTATTTGTGCTACCAAGAATAAAGATACAGAAAATAAAATTTACATCATCTGATTCTAAATTCCCCTAAACTGCTATTGAGAAAATATTAATGAAAAATTCATACTTTAAGTTACAAACTTTCAGGCTGATTCCAACACTTACTTACAGCAAAAACCAAACACATATTTTTCCCAGTGCGAAAGCTGTAAATTCACACAACTGTTTAGACACTAATACTAACTGATGTTTGTTTTGTTTTGTTTTTGAGACGGAGTTTCGCTCTGTCGCCTAGGCTGGAGTGCAGTGGTGGAATCTTGGCTCACAGAAACCTCCACCTCCCAGGTTCAACCAATTCTCCGCCACAGCCTCCTGAGTAGCTGAGATTACAGGTGCCCGCCACCACACCCAGATAATTTTTTTTGTATTTTTAGTAGAGACGGGGTTTCCCTATCTTGGTCAGATTGGTCTTGAACTCCTGACCTCATGATCCATCCACCTTGGCCTCCCAAAGTGCTGGGATTACAGGTGTAAGCCACTGCGCCCGGCCTAACTGATGTTAAGATGAACAATTACGGCACAGATTAACTCAATGTTTAACACTAGAACATATAGTATCATAAACTATATATCATCTTATATATAGTATAATGACATTAGTGTGTAAGGCATGAACATATAGTATCTATTCCTATCAGGCCAGGAAGAACATGACTTTTGTTCCTATGGCACCAAAAAATTAAATTAAAGGCCAGAAATTCCTTGTGTCCCTTGTGTCCCTTTAACCCATCAATTTATTTAAAAATCACTCCAAACCTTGCATGGTAAAATGGAGGGCCTTTCCGATACAGTACTGCAAAGAAGAAAAAAAAGAAATATAACCACTCAAAATAACAAGAGAGGAATAAGACTCAATAAAAAGCTTGCTTTATTAATTTTTTTCTTTTCCAAAAGGAGGCAAATATTCAATTACCTATATGTAGATAGATAATCTGCAATATGCCTTGGGGTCTATTTTTTCAGACAGGGTCTTGCTCTGTCACCCAGGCTGGAGTGCAGTGGCATGATCATGGCTCACTGCAGACTCGACCTCTTGGGCTTAAGCAATCCTCCTCACTCAGCCTTCTGAGTTGCCAAGACTACAGGCGTGCACCACCACACCCAACTAATTAAAATTTTTTTTTTTAGCAACAGCATCCCCCTATGTTGCCCAGGCTGGTCTTAAATTCCAGTGCTTGAGTGACTGTCCGGCCTCAGCCTCCCAAAGTGCTGCGATTACAGGTGTGAGCTATCACACCCAGCCCCTGTCATCTATTTTTAAAATCCAAACTTATTTTCCTGAAACAAAGTGCAATTAGTAAAGAAATCTGTTGCCAAGAGCCTAACACCTCATCCCACCCTACAAATAAATTCCAAAGTCAAAGTACAGGCAATCTTGCCTTGCTTCCTGTCTTACACTCTCCAGAGTGAGTGTGAATCATACTGAGTGTAAAATTCATAGAATGTGCATCAATATTTTGTTATTTATTTGAGATCAATGTAATGCAGTGTCTGACTCGCTACTCTGGCCAGCTACTGTGACAGGGGTTGGTAAAAGAGAGGAGTAAGACTCATGCCTATTTTGAAGAAATTCAAAGTCAAGTGATAGAAGTCACAATCATACATTCCACTCAAGTATCAGTTTGTTCCACTATTGAGGACCTGAAGGAGATGGGGGAATTCAGTCTGTGGAGGTCGAGAGCCACTCAGTGAAGGAGCCTGGGGCCAGGGACTCTGCCACATAGACTCTGGAATCTGGCAGGGAACCTTTCAGAGGCACATGGTCTGTGGCAGGTACTGGCTAACTGTTCATCAAATCCACTTATCTCTCCCCCAGGTACATGGCCAGACCACAGCTCTCAGTCAGTCTCCTGTGCAGTTAGGTATGGCCAAGTGTTGTGTGACACTTCCAGGCTGACCCGTAAAACCCTCCCTTATACAAACCCTCTCTGTGTCTCTTTCTTTCTGAGGGTGACTTTTTTTTTTAAACTTTTTTTTTTTTTGGAGACAGAGTCTCGCTCTGTCGCCCAGGCTGGAGTGCAGTGGCGCACAGTCTCTGCTCACTGCAAGCTCCGCCTCCTGGGTTCACGCCATTCTCCTGCCTCAGCCTCCCAAGTAGCTGGGACTACAGGTGCCTGCCACCATGCCCAGCTAATTTTTTGTACTTTTTTTAGTAGAGACGGGGTTTCACCATGTTAGCCAGGATGGTCTCGATCTCCTGACCTTGTGATCCGCCCGCCTCGGCCTCCTGAAGTGCTGGGATTACAGGCGTGAGCCACCGCGCCCGGCCTGAAGGTGACTTTGGAAGCTGTGTGCTGAAGACTGGGAGCCACCAGGAAGCAGCTCCTAAAGCATCTTTTGGAGTTGATTGGGCCGCCAATCAGAGACAGCCGTGTTGGATTTCACATGAACAAAAATGAACTCTATTGTTAAGCCCCTGAGACTTGGGGTTTCTATGCAACTACAGCTATGGGAATTGCCATAACGAACACAATTACATCTGTAAGCTGTTAGCTGTCCTCTGTGCTAAAACCAGCACAGGAAAGTTCAAGGAAAAGTTTTGTTTCCCTTGAGGAATGGATAGAATTTTCCTTTTTGGACAGATCAATCCTGTAATCATGTTTCTCTTTGGCTCAGGAAGCTCAGAGTCAAATTTGTAGCATGACTTTAGTAACCATATAGGACCCCAAGGGCGACACAGTAACCCTTCACTTAGTCTTGTTTCACATCTACATTTTCCATGGTCACGTTTCCTTTCTGTATTTCCTATTTAAGTTGTATTTAAAGTACTCGGCAAGTCAGCTCAAATTCACTGCGGCACAAATCTAAGTAAATATCCAAACATACAATTCTCAACTTTTTGAGATGGAGTGTACTGGAAAGAAACCATGTACTGGAATGAAAGTAAACTCAGGAGTTTTGTTCCCTGCCCAATCTTTGCCTCCTCAAGTTGTGTGCCTTTAAGCAAGTTATTAACTTCTCTGAGCCTTGGTTTCCAAAATCCTAAAATGAAGACATCAAGGGAAATTGAGATCTTTTCTAGTCCTCAAATGCCATTACCTGTAATCAAACACACATCATTAATCCAATATGCACCTGGAGCATTACAGAGCTTGAAAGTAGCTCACACCCACAAAGCAAGTAATTTCTGACGACAGACTCCGACACAGCACAGCTTAGTTTAAGCAAGAACACCGGCAGTAGACGGACCCAAGGTCAAGTCAGCAGTGCCAAGACCATGGGACAACTCTGCATGTCAATTTCGTTATAAAAAATGGGGGTTATGCTGAAGACAGAAGTATTAGCACAGTGTATGGCATAAACTAAGTATCACAAAGTTACCTATGCTAGTAACAATTACAGTCTGTGTGGATTAATGACGAGGATACATTCTAAGATATGAGTCCTTAGGCAATTTCATTGTTGTGTAAACATGGTAGAGTGTACTTACACAAACCTAGATGGTATAGCCCAACACACACATAGGCTATGTGGTATCACTTATTGCTTCTAGGCTACAAACCTGTTCAGCATGTGATTGTGCTCAATCTGTAGACAATTATAACACAATGGTTAAGTATCTGTGTATCTAAACATAGAAATGGTACAGTAAAAATACGATATAAAAGCTAAAACCCATACACCTGTATAGGGGACTTACGAATGCAGCCTGCAGGTCTGGAAGTTGCTCTGGGTGAGTGAGTGGTGAGTGAATGTGAAGGTCTAGGACAGTACTGTGTGCTAATGAACACTTTATAAACACTGTACACTTAACCTGCACTAAAGTTATTTAAATTTTTTTTCTTTCTGTCTTTAGGTTTTTTTTTTTTTTTAACATATATATAGAGACATGGTCTACCTATGTTGCCCAGGCTGGTCTTGAACTCCTGGGCTCAAAGGATCCTCTTGCCTTGTCCTCCCAAAGTGCTGGGATTACAGGGGTGAGCTGCCACGCCTGGTATCCTTTTTCAATAATAAATTAACCTGGCTGGGTGCAGGTCAACAAACAATGAACCATGATGGATATGACCATGGTCCCATTAGATTATAACAGAGCTGAAAAATCCCTATCACCTAATGACATCGTAGCCATCGTGCTGTCGTAGTGCAACACATTATTTGCATGTTTGTGGTGATGCTGGTGTGAACAAACCTACTGCACTGCCATTTGTATAAAAGTTATTTGACCGGCCAGGCGTGGTGGCTCATGCCTGTAATCCCAGCACTTTGGGAGGCCAAGGCAGGTGGATCACGAGGTCAGGAGATTGAGACCATCCTGGCTAATGTGGTGAAACGCCGTCTCTACTAAAAAATATTAAAAAATTAGCCAGGCGTAGTGGCGGGCGCCTGTAGTCCCAGCTACTCCGGAGGCTGAGGCAGGAGAATGGTGTGAACCCAGGAGGTGGAGCTTGCAGTGAGCAGATTGTGCCACTGCACTCCAGCCCGGACGACAGAGCGAGATTGCGTCTACCACCACCACCACCAACAAAAAAGTTATTTGACCAAAATGTTAGGCAGCACATGACTGGATGATGGTGGTAGTGTACTCAGGGGGAAAAATGAAATTGTTTTACAAAAATACCTGAAAGATGAAAGCATAAGTAGTCTGAGAAATAGTAGGCATTTAAAAAAAGATCTGAGGGCTGGACACAGTGGCTCACACCTGTAATTCCTGCATTTTGGGAGGCAGAGGTGGGTGGATCACTTGAGGCCAGGAGTTCCAGACCAGCCTGCCAACATGGTGAAACCCCATTTCTACTAAAAATACAAAAAAAAAAAAAAATTAGCTGGGCATGGTAGTGCACTCCTGTAGTCCCAGCTACTTAGGAGGCTGAAGTGGGAGGATCATTTTAAACCCGGGAGGTTGAGGCTGCGGTGAGCTGAGATTGTGCCACTGCACTCCAGCCTGGCGGACAGAGTGAGACCTTGTTTCAAAAACTACATAAATAAATAAAAGTAAATATAAGGTCTGAAAGAATAGGGAATATAAAAGGAAAGCTCTTTCTTACAGAAGAATGCCAGATGGAGGTGTGGAATGGAAAACAGCTACTTACGGTATCACTCCACAAATGACTTGTTTTTTACAAAAGGAAAACTGTAATTATATGACAGACATTGACAACGGCCACCATCAAACTTAGCATCACCACAGCAGGAAAACCTGACTTCAAGCACTTCCTGACACACTCCAATAAGCACACACATCACCTATGTGTGCCAAGAGAACCTGAGCTTGAGTCTGATCATCAGGAACAATCAGACATACAGAGAATGGGGAACATCCTAAAAGACATCGAAAAAAGTAACGTCATGACAAACAAAACAAGAAGTTAGAGTGACTGTGTCAGATTGAAAGAAGCTGGGCACAGTGGCTCATGCCTGTAATCACAGCACTTCAGGAGGCTGAGACGGGTGGATAACCTGAGACCAGGAGTTCGAGACCAGCCTGGCAAACATGGCGAAACCCCGTCTCTACTAAAAATACAAACGTTAGCCCAAGCACAGTGGCAAGCACCTGTAATCCTAGCTACTTAGGAGGCCGGGATTCGCCTGAACCTGGGAGGCAGAGGTTGCAGTGAGCGGAGATCGTGCCACTGCACTCCAGCCTGAGCGACAGAGCAAGACTCTGTCTCAAGAAAAGAAAAAAAAGAGAGAACAGAGATTGCAGTGGGTTTAACGGCAGCTTCCAGAAAGATATGTTCATGTCCTAATCCCTGACTTGTGAATGTGACCTGGAATGTGGAATGTGACTTGGAAGAAGAGTCTTTGCAGATGTAACTAAGCTTAGAATTTTGAGATGAGATCATCCTGAAT